TTGTTGACAGACTCCCCTGTGTCCAAGGCAGGCCTCACACTCAACTTGTCTCCAAGAAAGACTTTGACTTGTCATTCTCCAGCATGGTGTGCAGTGTTGAGACCAAACCCTGGGGCTCCTGCTTGCTGATCATAATCTTTGCTGAGCTGTATTCCTACCCTGAGACTTGGAAATTATAAATAATACCAATCCCTTTTAAAAAAAATGATTTATCTATTATTAATTTATAATATATACAGTGTTCTTCCTGCATGGCCAAAAGAGGCACCAGCTCTCATTATGGATGGTTGTGAGCCACCATGTGGTTGCTGGGAATTGAACTCAAGACCTCTGGAAGAGCAGCAGGTGCTTTTAACCGCTGAGCCATCTCTTCAGGCCGATGAACTCTCTCTCTCTTTTTTTAATTTGTTAAAGATCAAGGGGGAAAAGAATGGGAGAGAGAATACCATGACATCTTGTTGTATGTTTAACTTGTCAAAAAGGGTCCTATACAGAAATGCCATAGCAGCTGGTGCTACAAATGATTTTTTTTCATAAGTTGATTTGTATTTTTTGTTTTGTTTGACACAAGTTTCTCTCTATATAAGTCCTGGGCTGTCCTGGAACTCACTCTGTAGACCAGGCTGGTTTCAAACTACTTGCCTCTGTCTCCCATGTGCTGGGGTTAAAGGTGTGTGCCACCACTGCATGGTCTTAGGCACTGTATGTATTTTCAAAAGTGTCTTACATGGTTGACCAGGCAGGTCTCAGTGAAATCCTCCCACCCCAGTCTCTCTAGTGCCAAGTTCACGGCATCACCAGGCCCACAAAATCCTAGCTTTGCCTTGGAGATTCATTTAAGGGTCTCAGAGCCTTGGTTTCCTCACCTTTAAATGGAAGAATTATTGTGAAAGCAAAATGGTGTGGAGAACAAGGGGGGCAGACTAGATTGTGCCTCGACAAGACAGACAATTTAAGGCTGGAGGGGAAGGGGAGCTGGGCCTTTGATCCCCAGTGCCTGTGTTCTAGGCTATTTAAGCTTACATAGTGAGATCCTGTCAGAAAATAAAACAGGGGCTAGAGAGATGGCTCAGTGGTTCAGAGCACCTGGTCTTGCGGAGGACCTGGGTTCAATTCCCAAGATCCACAATGGTGGCTCACACCTATTCCTAAGCCCAGTTCCAAGAATCCAAAGGGCATAAATACATGCATGCTAGCAACACATTTATTCACATAAAGTACAATAAATCAAAGAATAAACCCCAGCTTGAAACAGTGTAGGGGAAAACCCAAGAGTCGCGAAGTCAGATGTTCTGCTTCCTGACTCATCCCTTGTAATCGGCATTTGCTTTCCTGTAAGGTGGCGAGAACTCCTAGGGGGATGTGAGGAAGCCCTGAGCTTAAGGACCCTGCTCCAGCTTCTGCAAGCCAAGCACCAAGAGTCACACAGGTCAGGCACGCTGTACTCTCCCCTCCCTGGTCACTGTAGGCAGCGAGATTAGAACAAGGAAGGGCCCAGGATGACTGACTGGCCTGGGACGGGCCGTCTACTGCGTGTATTTTTTTCTCCTCTCTGTCCACAAAAGGCAAACAGGAGTAAGATGATAACGGGAAGTTGACTGAAGCAAAACAGGTCACAGGAAGGAGATGATGCTCAGCGACAAATAAAAGACAGCTGCAGCTGGGCCTGGAGAAGATAGCTGGACACTTATGGGAAGCAAGCTTGGGGCTTTGTTTTACATACACATACACATATTTTCTCGGTGTGGCCCTGGCTGTCTTGGAACTTGCTCTGTAAACCAGGTTGCCTCAAACTCAGAACCACCTGCCTCTGCTTCCTGAGTGTTGGAACTAAAGGGGTGTGCCACCATGCCCATCCCTCCGAAGAAGCTTAAAATACAGAGCATGGGTGGGGACCTAGCTGGGAGAGTCCCTGCCTAGCCTTGCACGCATGAAGCCTTGGGTTTAAATGTAGAGTAAAATAAGCACCGGCACATAAGTACACGTAGGGCCTTACACATATAAGTACACGTAGGGCCTTACACATATGTACACGTAGGGACTTACAAGTGACTGGTTATTCAAGATTGTGTGCTTGGAAAACATACACAGCTGACTTATCACAGAGACAGAATTCTCGGGTTTGTAATCTCAATTTAATACCTGAACAAGATTTGATTAGGCCAGACAATGGTGGCACACGCCTAATCTCAGTCTCAGGAGGCAGAGGCAGGCAGATCTCTGTGAGTTCGAGGCCAGCCTGGTCTACAGAGCTAGTTCCAGGACAGGTAAGGGCTGTTACACAGAGAGACCTTGTTTGGAAAAAAATATTTTTTATTATTTTTTTTTCACGTATTGTGATTGAAAATTCATCTCCCATTGTTAACCCCCACCCCCACGCCTTTAACGCAATCTTCCGTCAGAAAAGCTTTCAGAAGGTGGATCATGGCATAGATAACTGGAGAAAGCTTAGTCCGCACTTCTGATAGCTAAAGCCAGCTGAAAGGAGATGAACAGGAGACCTGAGATTCGCTCATGAACAGGCTTGTTGTCCTTAAAGAAATGCCCTTTATGGACTCAGCTAACAGGCCTGTGACCAGTGACAGACAGATGACCCAGATGACCCCGCAGTGTAAGTGTCAGATGTCAAGCTAATACACGTGTCAATGAAAACAGATGCGTTCGGCCCCAGAGTTAATATTTGAAAACTTTATTTTCTCAAATGAGCACCAACACAGATCGGAAACGACAAACAATGCAACTTCTCACTAATACTGAGTCATTATGTACAGATACCGAAAGGAGGTGAAGACGAATCACTCAAAAAACAATCGCCTTTGTTATTGGAGCAAAGTGCCCTGCGGAAAAAGATGCCACCAAGGACAACCGAAAACGAGAAGCAAAAACAATTTGAAACCCAACAATAGTTTGTAAACAGACAGACAGACAAACCTGTGGTATACAAGTCTCTGCAGACTGGGAAAGCGGACCGACTCCCGTCTTCACCAAAACACTGTAAAACACCGGGCAGTGCGAACCTTGGAGACAATAATGTCTTTCTTGGCTTGATCTTTTATTCTGGTACATTTCATTACTGTATAGTAATTTTAGAAATCAAACACGATTTTAAAAACAACCTTTCCCACTCACAGAACTATTTTCCATTGAGGCAGATTTTTTTTTAAATACAAAAGTTATGTTCAAAATTTGATTTGCCAGCCTCTGCCTAGACCTGAAGCAATCTGACCTTAAAAAAAAAAAAGAAAAAGGAAAGGAAAGCTATCGTGTTATCAATGTCCTTTTAGCCTGAACCAGTTAACATTTAATATGACCTGGCTTCTAGAACAAGCAGAGCCCTGGGATGTGTGACTGATCTGTTCACATCTCAGAAGCATGGACCTGACTTCGACTTCATCTTACAGGTTTGCTTTGCCGGCTCTAGATGCAGAGCGCACACCACCTCACGGAGAAAATCCTGCTCCATGCTGTTGGTCCACTCAGACATGGAAACCAGACAGGGAAACTACGTGCCCAAGGTGTAAACTGTAATTCATATAGTGTCCTCAGTAGAAAAGGAAACACACACACACACACACACACACACACACACACACACACACACACAC